GTTGTCATAATGTCTTGATCCGAAGATCTATCGCTAGACATTGACTTGAAGGAGTCGCCACCAATCTTTTCTTATCTAGGTGCGATTAGCCACTTAAGAAATCTGTCCCTTTCAAGGAACACCTAAGTTTAAGGGTCCCTAAAAGAATATGTTCAGGTTTACTAACCAGAACAGGGTTTGAGAGTTCGGTTACGTGTGAGGAAAGTTATAGCACCGTCACAATGCCCATCAAAAGATGGTACCAGCTTAATTTTGTGTTATCCAATAAACCTTAAAAATTTACCAAGTAATTAATCATTGGAAATTATTCTCAATTGACTTTAATACTTTTAGCAAAAAATTGAAAAAAATTTTTCACCTCAAGAGTATACAAGAAAACTACTGTTTCACTTGCAGAGGCTCCATCGTCGGATTATTTAACATTAAAAAAAATTCAAGAAAATAAAAAGAAAAAAATGATTGCTTTTGTATAGGGAAAATTGATACTTTCAACTTTTTCCCAAAATATTTTTTAAAAACTTTAATTTTGAGAAAAATTAGTACTTTTAACTTTTACTCAAAAATATATTTTTAGAAAGCTTATTTTGAAGAAAAATTGATACTTTCAATTTTTTCTCAAAAATATTTTTTAGAAAGCTTATCTTTAAAGAAAATTGATACTTTCAACTTTTCCTTAAAAAATATTTTTTTTTAATTTTATTTAAAGAAAATAAAATAAAAATAAAGAAAAATAAAATAAAATGTATTAAACAATTCTAATCTAAGAATAATAATAATAATAAATAAATAAATAATAATAAATAAATAAATAAATAATAATAATAAAAAAAAAACCTGGGAACGACTCGGCTTGGCGACTTGGCTCGGCTTGAGGAAGAAAAAACGGCTTGGAGACACGGCTCGGCTCGGCTTCAGAAACGGCTCGCACCCAAGTTGAACGCGGGTGAAAAGTAGGTTGCCCTCTGGTCGGGTCACCCGATTTCAAAACGTGCGGATCCTCTGGGCACAGTAACGTCAAAACGACGTCGTTTTCACTGGGTATAAAAAGTTAATTCCTCTGTTTTTCAGCAAACCTCTCCTCCCCTCTCTCTCTCTTTCCTTCTTTTTCTCTCATTTCTCTCTAAACTGATGAAGAACTCCGATTAAATCTCATCGAATTCTAAAAATTTTCGTCGAAATTCT